AAATGGAAACCTTTAGAAACTTTTTGGTTGCAATGACTGATTTGTAAATTTTCGTATATGGGTTGCAACCTTTCGGTGCTTATAAAAATATACTTTGTACACTTTTTGTTTAAAAAATAATAATATTTGCATCCTTAAAGAGATGACATTCATGAAGTCCATAAATCAAAATGAACAAGTTCAAATATAGAGGAAGATTTATTATTAGATTATGGAAAAAGAAGACTAATATGCTTGACAACATTACAAGACAACATACTAAAAAGTGAGAACTTTGACAACATTAATTATTTGCTTAGCAGTAACTAAGAAAATCACCCACCATCAAAAGCAACAAGCTTTGGATTAGTATACAGAGAATAGACTTGGGTGACACCACCGTGAATTTGAGACGTTATTGATAGAACTTTAGTGGCTAAGGTCTCACAAACATGGTTTAGCGGATGACTTCTTGTATTTTCATTTGACTAGATCATTCATGATATATATATATATATATATGTATATATATCATGCGTCTCGCTCTCTCTTTCTTCACGTTCTCAAAGCTGCTTCAGCAACACACTCGAGCTCGCTTCTGCAACCCACTCAAGCTTCAGCAAGCCCACGCATCTCTCTCTTCATGGCAATGCCCTCGAGCTTGCTTTTACAGTGAGCCCGTCCTGGAGCCCTCTTTCTTGTGTCAAGTTTCTCTCTGCTCGTGATTCTTTATTTACTCCTCACATTCTCTCTCCTAAAGCTTTTCTCAATACTTGTCTCTCAAACACAACTTGATATGATTTTATGACGTGAAAAATGTTTTTTCACATTATGAACAAGTGATCAGTCATCGACACATGACCTGAACACGTGAAGTTGACTAAGGGTGAATTAATTCTTATTAATTCAAAGTTATTTATTTAGAAACATTTTAAAAGCTTTAGCAATTTGTACAAAACCCAAAAATATATATATATATATATATATATATCAATGATAAAAGGACTATTTTCTATTAAGCCAAAAGTAAAAGCGTATCTCACACACACTCATCATTTTATTCTTTTAGAATTTTTCAGATGTATCTAAATATCCATACACATGCAAACAAAAAATTTCAAAACTAAATAAATTTTTCATCAAATGATCAAACCTGAACCACACTGACCAAATAGTAAAATAACAACTAATAATATCCTTCTTTTTAGATAACAAGTATAAATCTATTAACAAAGCACCAAGGGAGGGTGCAGCCCATGAACTAAAAAATTACATATTAATTAAGCAATTAATTATGTAACCCCCAATAAAAGAAACCATCTATCTATAATTCTAACCATATCACTTTCAACCCGATTCCTTTCTTCCAAATAATCTAAAAAATAGTCAGCAGTATTAAGGTAAAAAATTTAACATTCCTTCCATCCCCCCCTGCCATGCCCAAATCTCCTCCTTCATAGAACCAGCCCTTACCCAACTAACCCCCCACCCAAGAGACCATATATCATAGACCAAATATGCTGGATAGCCGAGCAAAAGGGTAATAGATGGTTACAAGTCTCTGCCTAACTTTTACAATATAACAACAATTAACCAGCACCCTCTCTTCCTCAGCCGATCAATCGTTAAAATGGCATTCCTACTAGCTTCCCAAGCAAAGAAAACAATCTTGGGTGGAGCTTGAATTTTCCATATTTGCTTTGCCGGAAGAGGGATAGTATTCCTTTCATCCATCCCCAAAAGTATCTCATAATAGAATTTGACCGAAAACATCATATTTTTCTTAGGTTTTCCATATAAGCTTGTCATTTTCCCTCATTATATTCAACTAAGATTAAAAATAATAGAAGATTTTCATATTCCTCTACTTCCTAATCATTAAGGTTTCTCAAAACCGCTACCTCCCATCCCACCCGGCTTCTCCCTCCACCCGAAGCCTCCTCCACAATCATGTTTTTATTCAATGTTAATGCACAAATTCTTGGAAATCTCTCCTTTAAACAGCCCTCATCAGTCCACACATCATCCCATAAATTAATTTTATTACCCATACCGAGCTTCCATCTAGTACACGAACCCCATTTCTTGCTTTCCGCACAAATATTCCTCCATAGACATCTTCCCTTTTTACCCCCGCAACCTTCCAAACTCCTCTACCCTTCCTCCTAACCCATCTCGCCTCCACAATTCACCTCCACAACCTATCATCCTCATGAAGATAACACCACAACCACTTGCCATGTAAAGCTTTATTCATCTCCAACAATGATCTAATGCCCAAACCTCCATACCGCAACGATTACTTAACTTCCTTCTAATTCACAAGGTGATATCTCCTCCTCTCGTCATCATCACCCCAAAGAAAATGGCACTGAATCCTTTCGAGTTTACTCGCCACCTTCCCCAATATTAGAAGAACAGTAAGATAGTATATGATAATATTTGATAAAGTATTTTTTACAAGAGTAAGCCTACCCCACTTTGATAATAAGTTTCTCTTCCACTTTGCCAATTTTTTATCATATAACTCAATAACCGGATTCCATAAAGCACTATCTTTAGTTCTAGCCTCCAACGGGACCCCTAAGTATATTAAAGGAAAACACGTCGTTCTACATCGCAACAAACAAGCAAAAAAATCAAGCTCACCCTCCCTCCCAACTCTGACCATTTCGGATTTCTCAAGATTAATATACAATCTCGATACAGCTTAGAAACACAAGAGAATGTCTCACAAATTCAACACCATCTCTTTGACTGGTTGGCAGAAAATCAGTGTATTATCAGTAAAGAAAATATGTGAAACCTCCACCTGAGTATCCCTCTTGCCAACCCAAACACCCCTCAAAAACTCCCTCTCCTTAGCTCTCTCTATCATCATATTCATAGCTTCCATTAGCACAATAAATAGCATAGGAGAAAAAGGATTAACCTGTTTAAGACCCCTAGATGCCTTGAAAAAAGATGAGGGTTCATCGTTGATCAAGACTGCAAAAGATGTACTACTGATACAAGTCTGAATCCATTTCCTCCATTTCATACTAAAGCCGAGCCTACCCAACATATATTTTACAAACTCTCAATTCATATGATCATAAACTTTTTTCATATCTAGCTTCACAAAATACCATCCCTCCTGTTCGGCACAATGTCATCCACCACTTCATTAGCCACTAAAATCGCATCCATGATTTGACACACATCCATAAAGGCATGCTAACTCTCCCCAGTTACATTCTTCAGAACATTCGCCATTCTTGTTGCCAGAACCTTAGATATAAGTTTGTAGATACACCTAACCAAGCTAATGGGTCTGAAATCCTTAAAAAAAATCTTTTCTTTTTTTTTACAATTAGGACCAAGAAAGTAGCATTGAGCAATTTTACAAAAGAGCCTTGTTTATAAAAATCATCAAACAATTTCAACAAATCATCTTTCATCACATGGCAGAACTCCTGCAAAAAACACATATAAAACCATCAGGACCGGAAGCTTTGTCTCCATTGCATTCCATCAAACATTTCTTTATTTCATCTTTGGTGAATTCTCTCTCAATGTAAGCACTGTCAATAGCCTCCAACTACTTAAAATTCAGATTGTCAAACTTTGGTATGGTTTTCCAATCCTTCCTGTGTAACTCAGAAAAGAAAAGTCGAGCTGCTTCTCTCATATTTTGGTTACCCGAAATTGTGTTGTCATATACAATCAAATCCTCAGCATAATTACATCTTCTTCTATGGCTAGCAACACAATTGAAGAACACCGTATTACGGTTCCCACCTTTAATCCATTTCTTTCTCGCCTTTTTACACCAAGAAATCTCCTCCATACTCATTCTATATGCTGCCTCAACCCTTGAGCCTTTCCTCTTGGACGTCTCGATCACACTCAACCCCACCTCACCCTCCTTATCCAGATCCTGAATCTGCAGTAGGATATTATTTGTCTGTACTTCTTCTTTAGTACCTTCCTCTTTGATCCACCTCTCGATCTCATTTGCCAGTATTTTTTATTTACAAGGCACTTTGTAACTCGTTTTCTCATTAATCATCGTCTCCTTCCAAACTTCTGTAACCATATTCTCAAAACTCTTTAATTTAATCCATTTATTGTCTAACCTGAAAGGAACTGGTCTTCATTCCATCCCCTCTGCCGCCAAACAAATGGGAGCATGATCTGATATCAGTCTTGACAACACCTTCTGAGTAAGACTAAGTTGCTTGGACAACATATCTACAGACACAAGGAATCTGTCAATTCTAGAAAATGAGGGATTAGTTCTGTCGCCGAACCAAGTCCAATTTCCACTGATTAATGGAAGATCCACTAACTATAAATTTTCAATACATTCATTAAATTCCTCCGTACACCCTACTGAATACTGCTCCCCTGATCTCTCCCCTCTTTAGCACTATATCAACTAATAATATCAACTCCAAGAAAATGAAAAAGCATATTATCCTAAAAA